CTCATATTACTACAATGCATCTCAGAGAATGACTGCAGTGGTGGTCTTTGTAATCAGATGATTACTCCAGGAACCAATGCAATTCTCTGTGACACTTTCTTGTTTTCACAATCAGTGTGTTCCTGGGCACCTGACGGTCACAAGGAGAAGGGCAACATAATATCACTTTGTGTATGCAAGAATATCGAGCTATGTATGTACATGTTCATGAGTGTGTGCATGTGTGTCTTCCTCAATCATCTTCCATCTTAGTTTTTGAGACAGCATTTCTCACTGGACCCGGAGCTTGTCAATTCAGCTGCGTTGGCTAGCTGGAAAGCCCCAGGGATACTCCTGTCTCCACAGACTCAGCAATGGGATCATTGGTGTAAGTCACTGGGCCTGATTTTTTTTGTGTTGGTTCTGGGAATTTGAACTCAGGCCTTCATGTCTGTGCAGCAAGCATTTTACTCATATAGCCATTTCTCCATCCCCCAGTATCACTTCTTACCTCAGGTTTACATCCTAAGTAGTTCTTAGGGATCTTGATTACCAACGTATAGCCCCATTTATTTTGATTGGTGGCATTATTCCCATTGATGCAGAAATGGAAACCAGTCCAGACCCCCTGGCAGCACACTTGCTGGACAGAGCATGAGAAATGGTTCCCAAACAAAACCAGGGCCTTTGAAATGAGTGGCACTTTGGTGATCACCTAATCTAAGGCATATCGAGACAGTGCTTGTAAGATGAACAAATACCCATATCTTGGCTTTAAAAAGGGGACACCGCAACACTTTACCTCAGGCTTGTGTGCTGCAATGTTGAGCAAGAATCTGCTAGTTTGGAATAGGGCCCAGAAAAAAAAAAAAAGGAGTCTGTCTTGTACAGCATCTGTGGCTTCAGGAATAGTTCTCTGCGGCCAGTTGATAAGGAAAACAAGAAAGTAAATATACTCAAAAAAAGTCCTGTGTGATTTTAATCACCAACAACATGTAGGCAGCACTTCTATTAGTTTCCTCACTGCGGCATAACAAACTGCTCTCACCCAACAGCTTAAGGCACCACAATCTGTAAATGAACAGCATTGTGGGGCTCTGTTGGAAATCTCACAAAACCAAAGTTGAGGTTTCAGTCAAGCCCTGACTGACTGGTGAGCCACCCCCCCCCCCCAAAGCACTTCCAAGCTCATGCCGGTTAGTGGCAGGTCCAAGTTCCTAAGGTCGTATGCAGGAGAAAACAACATTGTAAGCTACTAGGACCACAGCCATCCACCTTTGGTGCACTTAAAGCTTCAACACTGTGACAGGACATCGTGATCACGGTGTCAGGTTGGATATCACACGCTAGCCTGTGAAGATTAACCTCTAAGATCAATTGCACTGCTCAGTACCCAATCCCCCAACAGGGGAAATGACCCATGAGACCACAGAGGGTACTACATCCCAGAGTGAGTACTTGGCCTCCAGGAGGCAGGCCAATGGCTTTGGAAAATGACCAAAAGGAGAAGGGCAGATTTGTTCTTAGTTACACAGAGGTTTGTTGAAGGCACAGACTTCCTTTCCCAGACATGGTATCAAGAGAAGACCAGCTCTCATAGACCTAAAAAATGACCTCCAGACCATTAGGGTACTCCACACAGCAATGTCTTTAAAGTAGGAGACTGCATCCAGTGTGCATCCTCTTGAAACGCACTGTCTCATTGTGTTTGCTATAACTGGAATTGACTGCTTTGAAACAGGAGTAAAATGATATTTTTGCAGGGTCTTATTTAGTCTGGGTTAGCCTTGAAACTTGCATTGTAGCCAAGGATAAACCCCAACACTTGATCCTGCCCCTGCCCCTGCCCCTGCCTCCCAAACTCTGGAATGACAGGTTGTGCCAACATTTCTAGCTAAAATGACCATGTTTGAAGAGTTGCCTGTGTTTCTAGCTCGCACCACTGCCTGTGGAGTTCAATAGGCAGGACCTAGGAGGTAGCAAGCCTGTCTTTTACTACCAAGTGTATGGGGCAGTTTGTATCACGGCCTCATTTCTGTCTTTGGTGACAAAAGGAGTAATAGGAAGATCCAGGTCTACCTGCTGCTCTTAGGGATAAACCACCGAACTCCTTTTGCCCATCCTGACAGTTTTAGACCCTGCCGAACCATCTTTGCAAGGAGATCCCAAAATTAATCTGTGGACATGGAAGTGGAAGTAAAAAGCTCATCACCATGGAAACTGCATCTTTTTCAATCGACAACCATGTGGGGGAGGATTCCATAATTTCTGGAGTAATACTTGATACCACGTGATACTTGAATGTGCTACAAGGGCTAAGGAGGACGGTGTGAAAGACGTGGAGTCCTTCTTAGTACTCCTGTGCTTTGTCATTAGAGGTGTTGTACATTTCCAGCAGCTCGGTTCACACAGGTCAGGGAATGGTCCAGCCCAAATGGTTAAGTAAAAAGGCCTGGAGACAGCTCACTAAGTCAAACCCCAAAACCTGTTGAGGGGTTTTGTCTCAGGACAATGGGAAAAAGAGATTGTTGGGATGCCAGGCATAGCAGCACATACTTTTAAACCCAGTACTCAGTAGGCAGAGGCAGGTGGAGCTCTGTGAGTTCTACATAGCAAGTTTCAGGACAGCCAGAGTTATACAGTGAGACCCTGTCTCAGAAAACCAAACAACAACAACAAAACAATTTAAAAAATTGTAGCGAGCAGCATGGAGCCACATCTGATAATCAGCTCCTAATTATGCCTAAGACCTGACTTATGCCTGATCACGCAATGATTGTCAGCTGCCTGCATATGCGTGGGCCTATGGGCAGTGCCCACCTGGCAATCCGGGATTGGCAGCCCGTGCCTACTTAAGGGCTGGGAGAGGTTTGCCCAGAGAGAGGAAGGAGAGAGAGGAGAGAGGGAGAAAGAGAAAGAGAGAGAGAGAGAGGAGAAAGGGAGGGGAAGAGAGAGAGAAAGTGAATAAAGTCCTGGAATAAACTGCAGTGAGAAGAGCTCTGGTGGTCGCGTCATTCTTGCGGGTCGAGGGTGGCTGCGACAAAAAATTAAAAAGCCCCAAAGCAATACTTGGCAAAGAAGAGAGTTCTAAATGCCAGAGGTGACACTGGTGACCTGCCTGAGAATGCAGACTTGCCATGATATTTACCTGATGAGACAATAACACCACCCAGCAGAGGGGAGAGAAAAAAAGCCGCAAACCAGCAAGAAGTTACACTTTCAACAAAATGCATAGACAGAAAGCTCATCTTTTATTAAGAGTAGTTTAAAACAGCTTTCTTTAATTTTCTTAGATAACAGATGCAAGGCAGCTTCAGCATTCCCCTACTATATTCAGGGCTAAACTATTTGCTGCGTATCGTTGATGGTTGTCAAAACAGCATCAGGTGCTTGAGTTTAGATCGACGTTCCTGATGGTGCTGTCTGACATCATTTTTTCCAGTAACTTCTCGAGATAATATATTAGGTGGTATCTTTTAAACCTGAAAATAAACAAACATAACATGTAAAAAGAGATACCCAAAGAACCTGCGCAGTAGGAAGTGCTGTGTGATCCAGAGCAGGGGCTCACCATCTGTAAGCACAGTCAGTACATCCTGGGTACTGTGTGCTCTAGCCAATAGGAAAGCTGTCTACTGAGGATCATTGCCCAGATCAAGACAACTGTGGCAAAGGAAGGTTGAGTAGGCCTGGAAGGATGTGCCGAACACCGGTGACATCAACCTAAATATCTATGTCATGAGCCTGAACTATAAAGTGGGGGCAGGGACTGAGCAACTCCCAGTAGGTGCTGTTCTCCACCCCTCAGCCAACCACTGCAGTGAGTCAACAGCTTGAAGGCGTGTGGTCCCTCTGGGCACCCACCTTGCTGCTTCCTTGATGGCGAACCTAACGAAATGCAGGCGGATATCCAGGGGTCCCCGCACTTCATCCAGCAGCTTGAAAATCCTTCCATATTCTAGAGAGAATACAAGAAGACTTCAGTATTTCACAGAAATGAAGAGAATGGGTGTTAGTGGATCTGTGTGTACCTCAGTAATAAGCTTCATGGTCACAGATGTTCAATGGTGTGTGTGTGTTCTAAATGCCTGTGCACAGATACGGATGCAGTTGTTAAGAGCACTAACCAAGCAACACTGCAAATGCAAGATGGAGTCTACTGAGCTATTTTAGTCTAAGTAAAGAGTGACTGTACTCAATTATGTAGAACACCTCGGTTGTGGCCAAGGCTCTCTCTCGTGGGGCAGTTTCGGGTTATTCTAATCATACAAATGGAGAAGCTTCAGAGAAGCCCGTTACTAGGCATTCTTTGAGTACTTACGTCGTCCATAGCGACGGATTTCTGACATCAGAGCATGTTTTATTCCATAATTAATGACTTCTGGATCCACCGGGTTCACAATGAAGTGGGAAATTTCCACAGACGTTATTTCTGTGTCATCTTCGGTGCTTTCAGAGTTGTCATGGCTGGCACTGGCCCCTGCACCTGCGTTGTCATCACCATCTTCGTCATTAAGAATCTCATCAGGCAGAGAATCTTCCAGAGCGGGGAGAGTGGCATCTCCTGGTGCAGGCTTAAACTGCACTTCTTCACGCTCCTGCGGGTAGACTTCAGGGGACTTGGAATCACCCTCCATCACCCCCTCCTGGGCATCCTGGTTGACAGGAGCTCCTGGAAAGCAAAGTAGCGAAACAAGCTGTGACCTAAGTGACCTCAGTGGCTGCACACAGGCATCTCTGTGCTCCTCGGGGTCTAAAATTAGTTCAGAGGAGGTGAGTACACCAGTGAAAAATCTCCGCCATGACAAACTGACCCCAGGATACAGCATAGATGAACACCACCTCAGACCCTGTAGCTCCAAGAACATACGTACAAACTAGCTGGGCAGGACAGGGAAGAAACAACGTAGATCCCTGGTACTCCAGGCTTAGTGTCACATTGATATGCTTTACAAGTTGAAAAGCTAAAGAGGCCATAGATGTCAAAATGTTAGGTGTACACCTTCACTAAAAATCCACATCTGAAGGTGACTTTTCCCTTTCGTGTCAAGGTGAATTCTTCTTTTTCTCCCTCTGTCACTTCTGTGTCATTTACTCATGTTCTGATATGTCCAGCACCTTCTGGGGTCATCAGCGAACATGGAAGACAGGAGCGTCCCCTGCTCCTGTGGAATTCTCAGTGTCACAGAGACACTGAAAGGAGCGATATACTTGGCTGTTCTCATGTTGGAGAAGAAGCTGAGGGAAATGTGAGAGAAAGCAGCTGAGAGTGCTCACGGGGCCACCAGGTTGGTGCTCCCCATGGGAGGGGTCCTCTGAGCAGAACAGAGGAGAAAGAGGTAGCCTGTGGAGATGTGGAGCAAAGGTGTGGTGTGTAATGTGAGCCGGGGATAGGGGATGTAGGCATTGTGTAGTAAGAAATAGACACAGATTGTGAGGGTGACTACTGGGGTCCAGATAACTGTAAGATGGTGGGGTTGGGGGATGCAGAGTCTACTGGGCAAGGGACAGGAGTCAGGTTGTATCTTGCATGCTTGGGAACACAGGTTTTTTTTTTTTTTTGTCTCAGCATGAATGTGGCCTACTATATTTATCTACTGACGTCCTTACTCTGGCTGCAGGGTTGAGAGCCATTGTCAGGAAGTGGTAGAGATGGGAATGGAGACCGAGCAGAAAATACCTGTCTGCTCTGTGACAGTGTGAGCTAGAATGAAGACTTACACAGCCCGAGTGAGGAAATATCACATGATCAATCAAGAGAAGAAAATAAAGGGAAGACAAGCCAGCGATAAGGCTTCACCAGTAAGAAACGGATTATAGAGAACAAAATGCCTTAGGAAGTTGGGGCCGAGGAGAAGGCTATCCTTCCAGAGGACCCAGATTTGAGTCCTAATGCTCACATGATCTCTCTCCACCATTTGCAACTCCCGTCTCAGAGGATCCCATGCCCTCTTCTAGCTTTTTTGGATAACAGGTACACAAGTTGAGCGTAGATACACATGCAGGCAAAACACCCCCACACATAAAATAAAATAAGAAATCCCAGAAAGTTATCAGTAATAAAGGGGTGGCTGCTTCTACCAGAAGCTGCTGGGAATGAATGGCAGTGTCGTCGTGGACTATTGATGCCCACAACAGTTTTTGTGGTGTTGATCCCCCTGGCATTGTAATGTGGAGAAAAGGAGAAGGCAGGTGAGGAAGAAGCCCAGGCAGGTGGGAAGGGCATCTGTCCCCTCTGAGACCTTGTCCTACGCTGGGTGCAAGGAGCTGTTTGGACCCGTTGCTCTCTCTGCGGCAACTCCTATCACGTTCATCATTCCACATGATTCCTTCGAGTTGGAAATATGCTCATATCTGCCCATCCAACTTGGATATATTTACCTTCTCCCTTCACATTGGCGGAAGCTTCAAGAGCTTGATTTGTCGCCATGTCCGCAGTGTTCCTTTTCTTTGGTGATGGACCCATGGCTTCTCCTTCTCCAATAGGGCTAATTTTCTGTTTAAGCATTGTGTGATGCTCCTTTTTGTCAGGCTCCTTGCCCTAGAAAACAGCAGTGAAGATATAATATTTCCTGAGTGTGGCGGCACATGCCTTTAATCCCAGAGCTCAGCAGAAGCAGCAGGATCTTTCTGAGTTCCAGGACAGCCTGATCTACATTGTGAGTTCCAGGACAGCTGGGGCTACATAGAGAGACCTTTCAAAAAAAAGAAAAAAGAAAGAAAGAAAGAAAGAAAGAAAGAAAGAAAGAAAGAAAGAATAAAAGGAAGGAGTATATAATATATACATTATATAAACATTTCATTATATTTATATAATATATGAATATTATATATAACAAATTGTAGCCACCACAACATTAAAAACATAGGACATAAAAAAGCTTCTGGGAAGCCGGGCGGTGGTGGAACACACCTTGAATCCCAGCACTTGGGAGGCAGAGGCAGGTGGATCTCTGTAGGTTCGAGACCAGCCTGGTCTACAAGAGCTAGTTCCAGGACAGGCTCCAAAAACCACAGAGAAACCCTGTCTCGAAAAACAAAACAAAACAAAAAAGCTTCTGGGATAAGGTGGGCTAAGAAGTTTTCTCCAGGTAATTCCACAATAAGAAGAGTCAGGAAAACAAAGAAATCCGAGAATTGTGAAAAAGCAAATGAAAAATCTGAAAATACCAAAATGTTGGAAATGACAACAGTTTTAGAAATTATTCCTAAGCTTAAAAGAGCAAATAAGAATCTGAAGAAAGAAGTAGATTCGTGAAGTAGATAGGGAAGGGGAAAAAAAAAACGGCAATTAAAATAGAGATCCCAGGGAGACCGAATCGGGCAGAAACACTGAAAAAAAATGCATCACACAAAACATTTAAGAGGAAGCATCTAGAGCAGTGTTTCTCAAGCTGTGGATAGCGACCAGGAACCACTCTTCCACAGGAGTCTCCTAAGACTACTGGAAAATACAGATATTTGCATTATGATCCTTATCAGTAGCAAATTAACAGTTATGAAGTAGCAATGAAGATAATTTTATGGTTGGGGGTCACCACACATGAGGAACTGTATTAAAGGGTCACAGAGTTAGGAAGGTTGAGAATCACTGTTGTAGACTAAGCAAAAAAAAAATTCAGGAATTAAAGACAAGACTGAGGAATTATTACTTTTCACAGCAGAAAACAAACTACAGGGGGAAAAAACGCGCAGCAATCATGACCGCAACTTCCAGGAACACTGGGACATGTTGAAGAGACCAATTCTCTAAAATTTCGGCTTAAAAGAAGGAACCAAGTTACAGTCTAACCGCATAAAGTCACGGAAATCCAGCAGAAAATTCCCCGAACCTAGGGAAAGATATATGCAAGTTAAGGAGGAATTGCAACTAAACATGACGGGAGAGAGAAGCGCCTCTCCGTGTCATCTAATGGCTCTGATGCGGAGGGAGCAGAACAAAGAATAAATACTGGAAGTCTCAGAACAGAAGTGCCGAGTTAGGTCGAAAGGCAAAGCCGCGGAGATCAGGGAGACTTTCTTTGCTAGATCTCGAATGGACGATTACTACAGGCTGATACATCTTAAACTCTGAAAGTCAGTAGTTTTCAACTCAGGTTACTATGTTCAGTAGAGAGAGTTCTCCTTTGAAATTCGAAGAGAAATGAAGTCCTTCCAGGAGCAGCTTGAACTAAAACAATCCACCGCCACTCGGCCATCCTGAAAAAGGACACTAAAGGAAGAATATTACACACAGAAGGCGAAGATCCACAGCAGCGTGAGAGCGTGGGGAAGGAAAAGAAAATCACTACAAGGGTAGAAAGACAAACAGCAATTTGAAAAGAGGCAAACATTTTTACCTTAGCGAGCCCACGAAGCTTTAACGTGAACAAGGAAGAAAGCGGCACTTACCTTGCAGTGAGCGCTCTAAATATAATCGTTAACTACGTAGAAAATACGCAGCCTGAGGGGTGGGGAGTTGACTTGACTGTAAGGCGCCTGCTCAACCTGCAGGCGCACCTTAGGAACCGTCAGACACAAAGGCACTTATCTGTAAGCCAGCACCGGAAGTCAGAATGGCAGAAACAGGACAGTCCCTGGGGCTTGCTGCTGGTTGGGCTAGCCTGACCAGTGAGGTCCACGTCCACTGAGAGACTCTTTCTTTTAAAACTAGGGTGGAAGGCACTGGAGGAAGATACCTGACGTCATTCCCTGGCCTTTACAAGCACAGGCATGCATAAGTGAATACACTCGCATGAAAATGTGCAAACACCAAAAAATATGTAGAATTGAGAAATGTTTAAAAACAAACAAACCAAGATTCAACTGTGTCCTGTCTCCAAGAAACTCACCTCACTGTCGTCAAAGATTAAAAGACGAGAAGTCAAAGTATGGAAGGAATATTGTATTCCCAGGCAAACAGAATCTATGTACAAACAAGAGTGGCTACTCTCAGCTGAAAAAGCTGACTTCAAGACGAAAACTGTAAGGAGAAATGAAGACGGCCACTGCCCCTTAATAAAAAGAACAATCCAGCTGGGCGGTGGTGGCACACGCCTTTAATCCCAGCTCTTGGGAGGCAGAGGCAGTTTGATCTCTGGGAGTTCGAGACCAGCCTGGTCTACAAGAGCCTGTTCTTCCAGGACAGGCTCCAAAACCACAGAGAAACCCTGTCTTGAAAAAGAAAAAAAAAAAAAGAACAATCCGTCAAAAAATGTAACAACTGTAAAGACGCACAGCAAACGGCAGAGTTTGTCAGTACTGCATTGGGCTATTAACAAGAGACTTCTCGGAGTAGCTTAGACCAATAGTGAGCCCAGGTTGGAGTTCCCCACTTCTCTCCCCGTGTCTTTTATCTGTCTGCAGCTTCTGATGTGGGGCCTGTCTGTTGTTTGTCTGCCATATGTATGGAGTTTGACTGTCCCTAACAAAGAGCTTTGCTCTGTCCTTACTGAATAGCACAGAAAACACGGTATGGGGAAGGAATGAGGAATTCTTTTCTACAGTAATCTTTAACCGAGTTTTGCAAGGGAAGAAGTTACTTTACTGACACTAGCTGACCTGTAATAGCATTCAACACTGCAGAGAGATGTTATCAGCCAGATCCTCATGCTGCTTCCCACGTTTATGGGACATTTGTCATGTAAGCTTGCTTTTAACCAGTGAGCTGCTTTCAGCACATGATTCCCACAACACACACACATACATTATCCTCGCTCGGTGGCATGGACACATACATACTTTAATATTATTTATTAAAATATATTTAGCTTAGGTAGTAAAAGCTGATTGCATAGGAAATCCAGGGCTTGGTAATATTGGTTACATTGCTTTCTTAAAATCAAGTTAAGCAGCCTGACTTCACACTAGAACAGCAGGTTACATATGTAGTTTTAAAGAATCTCAAGATGTAGTATTAACTTGCTTCCAAGATCTGGAAAAAGTTCCGTTTCTTGAGACAAGAGGTGTTTTCTGTAACAGCTATTCCTACGAGGGTGCAATTGATTTCTTAGATCAAGAGGTACTGGACGGGAAGGATCAGGGAGATCTGGATACAAGAAGAAGAAATGATTTCAACACCACATTCTCATCCACTGATAGATCATCCAGGCAAGGAAATCGCCACACATCAGAGGAAAGCTGCTCCGTTCAGCAGACTCTACCAAATAGCCAAGAGCTACGAGTACACACTTTCCTCCTCAGCCTGGGGAAGCATCTGCAAAATGGATGACATTTTATCTCATAAACTAAGTCTTCCTAGATCTAAAAACTTGCATCTTATTAGATGATAATGGTATAAACTCAGAAAAGCACAAAGGAACTATTGAAATTACACAAGCCAACAGAGATCAGACACTAGATTTCTGATGATATTTCAGATCAGCAAAGAAAGCAGCAAGTGGATTGTTTTTTAATCCCTACGGTTCAGTGATAATGAAAACACAATGTTCAGGATGCAGTGGAGGCAGTTCTAAAGAGAAAAGCATACAGGCCTGAGTCCCCACAAAATGAAACCCAGAGAGATTTCAATAAAGCTAATGGTGGTCCTCAGCCTTAGACAAATTATAAAAAAGCCAAACATGAAAACAGAAGGACAGAAATAACAACAAAGCAGAGATTAATGACTAAAAATGCAAAGATGAGTGAAATAAACAGTTTTATAAAAAGATAAGATGGACAAACCATGAGCCAAGATAACCAAATGCAAGAGATCTAAATGAATAAACCAGAGGATTTAAAAAGGCCATGGGCCGGGCGATGGTGGCACACGCCTTTAATCCCAGCACTCGGGAGGCAGAGGCAGGTGGATCTCTGTGAGTTCGAGACCAGCCTGGTCTACAGAGCTAGTGCCAGGACAGGCTCCAAAGCCACAGAGAAACCCTGTCTCGAAAAACAAAACAAACAAACATAAAAAGGTCATGGCTAGAAATGAGAGTGAGCCGGGCAGTGGTGGCACACACCTTTAATCCCAGCACTCGGGAGGCAGAGGCAGGCAGATCTCTGTGAGTTCGAGGCCAGCCTGGTCTACAAGGGCTAGTTCCAGGAAAAAACAAAAAAAAAAAAAAAGAAATGAAAGTGAAATTCGGAGGAGTTTATGCGACAGTTCACGGAACACTGATGCTAGTTCAGTGGCTGAGCTGATAGAATTCAACCACGGATCCCATATTGTGTATTCAAACTGCTAAGTCTAGACTGTCATATGAGAGAAAGCAGGCTGTTTTGTCTTCTGTCGAAACACTTCAATGGGTTACAGAAGTTGTTCTGTATTCTCAGTTGCTCTCAAGTCATGAACAGGATTTGAAGTTTAAGGCATTTTTTTTTTTTTGAATTTCGAGACAGGGTTTCTCTGTAGCTTTGAATCCTGTCCTGGAACTAGCTCTCATAGATCAGGCTGTCCTTGAACTCAAAAAGATCCACCTGCCTCTGCCTCCCGAGTGCTGGGATTAAAGGCGAGCGCCACCACCTGGCTTAAGGCATCTTTTAAATGAGCACCTACTTCCCTAACCCTTTCCTGCACTTGGAGTTGATTGAGGTTAAAGCAGCCTTGCCCCTGTGCACGGA